AACCTGACGTACCTTCTATGTATGGATTTTCAAACCTGACTTACCTTCTATGCATGGATTTTCAAACCTGACGTACCTTCTATGCATGGATTTTCAAACCTGACGTACCTTCTATGCATGGATTTTCAAACCTGACGTACCTTCTATGCATGGATTTTCAAACCTGACTTACCTTCTATGTATGGATTTTCAAACCTGACTTACCTTCTATGTATGGATTTTCAAACCTGACTTACCTTCTATTTATGGATTTTCAAACCTGACGTGCATTCTATTTATGGATTTTCAAACCTGACATGCCTTCTATGCATGGATTTTCAATCCTGACGTACCTTCTATGCATGGATTTTCAATCCTGACGTACCTTCTATGCATGGATTTTCAATACAAAATCAATAACCTTTGTTTCTGATTTATCCTCATTTCACCTGTTCCCTTTCCTTTTTTTAATCTTACCCTTTTTGGATGTCTTGTATTAGAGAACAGATTGGGTCAGTTTGTAGGCAACATTCTTTCTTTCAAAAGTAATAAATATATTTGCCTTTTGGAAGCCCTCTTGTGTTTTATTTATTGACTTTTGCCGTATATATCCTTTTCCTCGCATGTTATGTGTACGTCTATTGATTTCGCCTCCCATGTCTGGCAGTGCTTCCTTTTGTAGTATCAGTACAGCGCAGGTGTCTCAGAAAATAACCGGGCGTGGGAATAATAAAAAAGTGCATTCATTTTTACTAATCTGTATTTATAGTAAATAAATGGGAAGAAATCAGCCTGGAATTTTTGTTCCACCCAATCCTGCCTTGTGCAACACAGTCCAGGCTGAGCACAAGGAAACATTTCATGTTTTGTGCAGCTTTTCCAAACTCTTTGTTGGTTTGTTTGTTCGTATTTCTGCCAGATCCGTCCTCTCGAGGTTTTGCCAATTTTTTTTCCTCATTGTACATTACATGTAAATCTAATGAAAAGGGGATTTAGTATATTTTTTTTCATTTCCAAGTTTATAATAACATACCAATGTGCAGTTTTATAAGTCATAGATGCACATATGGCTTGTCTTTACAAGCCACTGGTGGCACCCAACAACTTGATTTACGATGTAAAGGTCAACTGGTTCTGTGGTAGCCCAGTGACTAATAGTATCTTTGGTGGATTCCAGTGGCAGCACTTCTCCCTAGTTTTTGTGTCTGTCACAAGGCCATATTGAAGGGTTTACACTCTCACAACTACATGCCTACCGTCATTACAGAGAATCAGGGGGGCTTGACACCACTACTTGACTTTTTAATGGTTGCTGAGGTTAGGCAGAATTGGGGATTTTGGCGGCGGTTTATTACAACTGTTGTTCTTTCAAGATTTAGTGGAGTGCAAAAAGTGAAGATTTATTATCTTAAAGGGAACATCAAGAAAGGTTGATTATGCCTAAGCAGTACCTTGAAAAAAAACATTTCCATTCCTTCTGAATAATCTCAGTAAACCTTTATGCCTTGTAGCTGTGTGTGAGATCATCTAATTAGTGGTCTCCAAACTGCAGCCTGTGGATTGGATGTGGCCCTTTGTATGCCTTTATTCAGCCCTTGGAACACTATTCCTCCCACCAATATGATGCACTATTGCTCCCACTGACATCAATGATGAGGCAACATTCCTTCCACTGACAACAATGGGACACCATTCTTCCCACCGATACCAACAATGATGCACCATTCCTTCCACTGGTGGGGTGCTATTGCTTTCACTGACACCAACAATGGAGCACTATTCCTTCCTCTGACACCAACAATGGAGCACTATTCCTTCCTCTGACACCAACAATGGAGCACTATTCCTATTCCTACTGACAAAAGGACTATATGTAATTTTTTTACTCCCACTGACCGCCAAGCCTGAGACTTTTGGGGTTATTTACTAAAACTTGACAGTGCAAAATCTGGTGCAGCTCTGCACAAAAAGCAGCTAGCTTCCAAGTTTTATTGTCCAAGCTTAAACTGAACAAGCTGAAGATAGTAGCTGATTGGCTACCATGCACAGCTGCACCAGATTCTGAGTGCTCCGGTTTAAGTAAATCTCCCCCATTGTTTACTTTCACGGATGCTGGGGCACAGTTCACCCCTCTACGGTTTCAAGTACAGTAAACTGGCCCTTTGTTTAGGAGGTTTGAAGAGCTCGATCTAAGGCATTGCTACTAACTTGCTGGAGAGGAAGCTGTACCTAAGGACCTACAGTGCAAGGATCTCCCTGCTGCTGATCAGTTCATTCTGTGGATCTGTGCACCCTCTGCTTCTGCTTCTCCTGCTACTTGATCATCAGCTCACCAATCATCAGATCACCAGTCATCAGGAGGGGCTGCTTTGAAATATAGACGCAAAGCTCTGTTCCTCCAAGATGGTCGTCTCCATACTGAGACAGAGTGTAGAACAAGGCATGGTAAGTCAGTAAATAGAATAGGTCAGCTGCAAGGAAACCATAGGCAATACTGGTGATTAGTCCTTTTGTCTTCTGCCTGCCTTTTTTGGGCACAGCATCTACAGTTTGGGTTCTCTTTAAACCAGCATGTGATTAATTGCGTCAACTACTATGTAAAACTGAAATATTCGCTTTGGATAGAGTCCAGCATTAATACTGCAGCATAGGTTGCATAATTCTTATCGGGTCGCTGCTCAAGATTTGACTTAATTTTGTGTCTCTTGGTCTACTGCTCCAAACTCAGTTGGGCCCATCATTAATTTTGTTTTTCTTTTCATTTATATTTTATTGCAGGCCTAAAACCATCCATACCTTCCAATTGCGATGGTGGTAGAGTTTTAATTGCTATCTGGTTTCTGGCCTTGATTCCACATAGATCAAAAAAAGCAGCACGATATCCTGTAATAGATTGCATTTGTGTGATTTTAAAATATTTGCTAGTTAATGTTGAATTTTGTTAGGTTTGGGCTATCACTACATTACTGTGATGGTTTATACTGATTACAAATTTTTCACCCCCCCCCCCCTTTTTCTCTTTTTTTTTATTTCCTTACTACAACCAGTTCCCCCAATATATAACTCAGACCACTGGAGGATCCAATATAGCAGACAGTTTTCTTGGTGCCATCTGTCAGAGAGGTCCACATCATTATGTATGTGTATGTGAGCTAAAGATTTTATCTGCCTAAAATTTCAATTTCTAAATTGTAGAAGTCCCATTTTTTGTAGAATAATTATAGTTTAATTGTTTTAAATACTATTCCCTTAACAAGAGCTCTGTAGTTGTGCGTTAAAGAAGCATCTGCTTGCCTGTGAGATAATAATTCTGGCAGTAAAACTTCTTAAGTATAAATTGAATCATAGTAATAATTAGCTGCTTTATTTGGACTGAAATAAAAATATTGACCAGTAATTTGGGCCTCATAAATATTTTATTTGTTTATTATTAAAAATGGTTTCTGCGCGGTGTACAACATTATCAGAATTTTGTCTGTTCCAGAGCGTTTACAGGGCGACCTTGTTCCAAGCTGATATTCCTTTATTAAGCATTGGAGATAGTGTGTGGTTAACTGATGCTAGCTACTTTGTGATAGGAAATCCACTGAATACATTTTGGACGGAAGTGTTAGACATTGTTTAATGCTAACATAGACACAATCATTAATATTACCTGCTCATGCGTGATACACCTACATGTCACAAATGTCAGAGTGCAGAGGGTGATTTGATGCACTTGGTTTGGGGGTGACGTAAAATAAGACCCTTTTGGTGAGAAGTCAAAGAATTCAGATCTGAGAACTTCTCTATTCCTGATATCTTTAACCCTAAGACATGTTTATTGGGTCTCTTGAGGAACGTTGAAGGAGTTTTTCTGATTGCCCTCAAAACTCCCCAGAAAATGCTCACACACTATTCTGTACTCCTACTCTTGGACCTCTCTGCTGTCTTTGGCACAGTTGACCACCACCTTCTCCTCAAAAAACTTGACTCCTTTGGTCTCCCTGACTGTACTATTTGTTTGGTTCTCATCCTACCTATGCCATCACACCTTCAGTGCCACTTACAATTCTACCTCCCCCTCTTCTCTTCCTTTTTCTGTCAGTTTCCCCCAAGGTTCTATTTTTGGACAGTTCCTATTCTCGATCAACACTTTCTCCCTGGGTCAGCTGATAGCCTCTCATGGTTTTCAGTACCATATCCATGCTGATGACATCCAAATCTATCTCCCTACCCCTCAGCTCACTCCATCCGTTTCCTCACGCCTCACTAATTTACTAACAGACATATCAGTCTGGATATCACACCACTTCCTCAAACTCAGTGTATCCAAAATCTGAGCTCATAATATTTCCTCCCCCACATGTTCATTTCCCTAACTTCTGTCAAGATCGATTGGGCAACTATCAACCCGTCCCCGCATGTCAGGATGCTAGGTGTAGTCCTGCACTCTGAATTCTCCTTTCAGCCCCATATCCAATCCCTGTCCAAAACTTGCCACTTGCAAAACACTACTTAAACAGTTGGCACTATATAAATCCTGAATAATAATAAGCAGAAATTAACTCTTCTCTTTTATTTCCAAAAAAATCTGTGGTCCTAACCTGAGAGAACAGTGAACTTTTGTAATAGAAGAGGGTCATGGACCAACAAATATCACCACTGTATAGATTAATTTATGAAGCCAGAGGCTGGTCTACCAAGTTTTAACTCCTTGCCTACCAGGCACTTATACCCCCTTCCTGCCCAGGCCAATTTCCAGCTCTCAGCGCTGTCGCACTTTGAATGACAATTGCGCGGTCAAACAACACTGTACCCATATGAAATTTTTATCTTTTTTTTGTGACAAAAAGAGCTTTATGTTGGTGGTATTTAATCACCTCTAGGTTTTTTATTTTTTCCTAAACCAAAAACCATGGAAAATTTTGAAAAAAAAAGTTTATTTTTAGTTTTTGTTATACAATTTTGTAAATAAGTGATTTTTCTCCATCACTGATGTGCGCTAATGAGGCTGCACTGATGGGCACTGATAGGCTGCACTGATGGACACTGATAGGTGGCACTAATGGGCACTGATGAGGAGGCACTGGTAGGTGGCACTGATGGGTGACACTGAAAGGCAGCTCAGATGGGCACTGATATGTGGCATTGATGTGCACTGGTAGGCACTGATATTGGACTGATGGGCACTGGCACGAGGCACTGATCAGCACTGACATAAGGCACTGATGGACACTGACAGGTGGCACTGCTGGGGCTACACTGATCATCAGGGCACACTGATCATCAGTGCCCTGATGATCAGTGTACATGTCCCCTCCGCGGAAAGCCGATTACCGGCTCTCCTCTCCTCTCCTCTCGAGCTGTCAGCGTGACAACTCGAGAGGAGAGAAATGCTGATAACCGGCATTTCCCTGTTTACATGTGATCAGCTGTGATTGGACACAGCTGATCACATGACCGAGCCGACATCTTCGGCTCTTTCCGTGATCGGTGATCGCAGCGCTGCACGCTCCCTGAGCCGCGCATGCGCAGTGAGAATGGGAGGACGTCATATGAAGTCCTCCCAGAACGAGAGAACCACCTTGCGCCTGTCATATTACTCTATGGCGGGCGGGAGGTGGTTAAAAAACATGGGTGGACTCGGTGGGACAAGTCCAACATTTGTAAATGTCAATGAGCTGTCTCTGAGACATTCTCATATCACCTCCTAACCATTATTATTATTATTATTATTATTATTATACAGTATTTATAAAGCGCCAATGGTTCGCTCAGCGCTGTACATTACAAAGGGGGACAGAACATGTGACAGAACAATACCAATACAATGCAAAACATGAGGGGATCGAGGGCCCTGCTCTTTGGAGTTTACAATCTAGGAGGGACCATAATTGTCTATACATTTTCACTGTACTTGACCACAAAATAAAATAGATTTTGGATGTTTTGTCCGTAGGTTACTTCCTTTTGCTACATGGTTCCATAGTTGGTCCCTGAGGAACATTGAATGAGTTTTTCAAAGCAGAAGTCATGCTTCTCTTGTTTTTTCATTTCCCAAAAAAACTTTGGTCCTACACCGGAGGAACACTGAACTTTTGGAATGGAAGAATGTTGTGAACCAAATTGTGAGGCCGGGGGCTCATCTACCAAGTTTGAAAAAACATGGGTGGACTAGATTGGACAAGGCCAACATTTATAAAACTCAATAAGCTCTTTCCGAGACATTCCCATATCTACCTCCTAACCATAATACCATAATTGTCTACACAATTGCACTTTACTTGACCACAAATTAAAAAAAGGCGAAAGATTTTAGATGGTATATCCATAGGTTCTTTATTGATGCATGAGTACATAGTTGTTGACAGTGCAAATGGTTTCTGTTTTTGTTCCCACTTTTAAATCCCAATTTTGGGCAATACAAGAACCCTCTTCTACCCACTTCTAAGTATTCACTGGCATAAAAAAAATGCCCTTAAGGCTTACCTAAAGCCGTTGTCACATGACTTTTGGTTTCCAAGCTTCTTCCCCTCTTCTCTTTACACGTGGTGGGTCTTTCTTTGGGTGTCCACATCATATTCCTGCATTTAGGTGGTGATGACACTTCCAGCAGCGGGGTCTTCTCACAAGCATTTGAACAACAGGGAGGGTAGTGAGGGGACCAGTTCACAAGAAGATAATGAGCATGGAAAAAGAGCCGGGTCCCCAAGGTAGGAAACTAAGTTTGATGACAGAGGAAAGTGTAACTTTGAGAAAGTAGACCATAGGATGGGTGTGCAAACACTATATATGATAAAGGTACTGTAAGCACAATACGCATTTAAAATTCGATTTTTGCCTGGAGTTGGCCTCTAAATCCAAAATTCTGCCTTATTTTGCGAACCTGTACCTCTGTTTCTCACTAATGCTTTGCTATATCATACTGACTGTGGAACATTTGCCTTGCTGTATATACTTCATTCAGTATTGCAATAAAAAAACAAAAAAAGCTACCTGCTAGTGCTGTAGTACACTATATAGTGTGACAAAGCCAACCTTGGAAGTGAGCGCATTTCAATTTTTGGCTTACTGGAGACATTGATCGAATGTGGTACTTTTAATTGGGTTCTTACTACTATTTACCATTGAAGCTACTTGATTCAGGGGAAACCCTCTGTCCATGGAGAGTAGACATTTAATAGAATAGATAGCATACACCAAAGTTCTCCTCAGTGAAAAAGAACAGAGTTGAACAATTTTTAGATGTTACATTAAATGTTTGTTTCCCATCTTTCTGTTTAAAATGAACCTGTCATAAAGCAGTGGGAAGAGGCAGTTCATTCGTAAGGATATGATAGTCACAAGGGAGCCCATTCACAATGACAGAGATTGATACAGTATGATGACATGCATGATTAAGGGTGATCCTCTATTCCCTTGGAAACTACCAATTCCATTGCTAACCCATTGATAGAACCTTTGGACGTATCACAAAATGCCGTATAAAGATGTCCTTGCCTTACAGCACTAGATCATCCTAATCCCTGGTGACTTGTGTCATTGTGCAACTCTGAGGTTATTCAGTCACAGATAAGTAGAATCTTGTCCAACCCAAAAGATGGTTGTGTTGGGTTTTAGAGAAGTTCACCTGAACATGGTGCTATAGAGAAGTTCACCTGAACATGGTGCTATAGAGAAGTTCACCTGAACATGGTGCTATAGAGAAGTTCACCTGAACATGGTGCTATAGAGAAGTTCACCTGAACATGGTGCTATAGAGAAGTTCACCTGAACATGGTGCTATAGAGAAGTTCACCTGAACATGGTGCTATAGAGAAGTTCACCTGAACATGGTGCTATAGAGAAGTTCACCTGAACATGGGCTGCTATAGAGAAGTTCACAACTGAACATGGTGCTATAGAGAAGTTCACCTGAACATGGTGCTATAGAGAAGTTCACCTGAACATGGTGCTATAGAGAAGTTCACCTGAACATGGTGCTATAGAGAAGTTCACCTGAACATGGTGCTATAGAGAAGTTCACCTGAGAAAGGCTGCTATAGACCAAAGTTCTTCAATTCTGACATATTTGCAGTAAGTTCATTAGAATTTCTATTATAGTCCATGCTTTTTCAACTAGGGTTACATGGAACCCTAGGGTGCCTCCAGAGATTGATGGAGGTTCCTTGAGCAATAAGCAATGACACACTGATCTCCCAACTACAATGACTACCAATGTAAGGGCAATTTCCCACTGACATTAAGGGATCATATCTGCATAGCTATCATTCTATCATTCAGGTTCTATCATTGGGGAAAAAGCAAGGGCTTTTCCCCCAATGATCACCAATATAATGGGGCATTTTTTCACTAAACCACCAACATAAGGAGGCATTCCTCCACTGCACACAACCCATGGAGGCTTTCCTCCACTGCACACAACCTATGGAGGCTTTCCTCCACTGACCACTAATGTAAAAAAGCATTTCACCGCTGGACCACTAATGTAAAAATTAATTTCACCGCACTAACCACCAATGTAAGGAGGCATTTCTCCTCTAGTGCCCCATAACCAGCACCTTGCTATGGGGGCACTCAGCGGGGGACCCAAGAAGAGGAGGATCGGAGCTGCTCTGTCAAAACTATTACACAGAGCAGCTAACTATGAATATTAAAAAAAAATTAACCCTTTCGATCACTGCTGCAAAGAAAAATTGGTCTCCTACCCTATCAGACTATGTGGCAGAGTGGTTTAAATCTCGGGACTGGACGGACAGAAATGCAAATCCTTTGGGAGGTATAACAGCCCTGATATACTCTCACCAGCTGCTTTATTAGGTACACCTGTTGAATTGCTTATTTATTTCAGGTACTTAAATAGCGCCATCAATTTTATGCTGCACTTTACATATATATTGTACATTCACATCAGTCCCTAACCCTCAAGGAGTGTACAATGTTTGGTCCCTAACTCACATTCATACATACACATACTAGGGCCAATTTAGACCGGAACCAGTTAACCAACCAGCATGTATTTGTAGTGTGGGAGGAAACCCACACAGGCACAGAGAGAACATGCAAACTCCAGGCAGGTGGTGCTGTGGTTGGGATTTGAACCAACGATCCTAGTACTGCCAGGTGGACGTGCTAACCATTTAGCCACTGTGCTGCTTGTTAACACAAATTGCTAATCGGCCAATCACATGGCAGCAACTCAATGCATTTAGGCATCTAGACATGGTGAAGACGACTTGCTGAAGTTCAAAGCAAGCATCAGAATGGATAAGAAAGTGACTTTGAACATGGCATGGTTGTTGGTGCCAGACAGGCTGGTCTGTGTATGTCAAAAACTGCTGATCTACTGGGATCTTCACACACAACCATCTTTAGGGTTTACAGAGAATGGTCCAAAAAAGAGAAAATATCTAGTGAGCAGCAGTTGTGTGGATGAAAATGCCTTGTTGATGTCAGAGGTCAGAGGAGAATGGGCAGACTTGTTTGAGTTGATAGAAAGTCAACAGTAACTCAAATAACCCCTCATTACAACCAAGGTTTGCAGAATACCATCTCTGAAAGCACAACATGTTGAACCTTGAAGCAGATGGGCTACATAAGCAGAAGACCGCACCGTGTGCCACTCCTGTCAGCTAAGAACAGGAAACGGAGGCTACAATTCGCACAGGCTCACCAATATTGGACAATAGAAGAGTTGCCTGGTCTGATAATTCTGATTTCAGCTGCAACATTCAGATGGTAGGGTCAGAATTTGGTGTAAACAACATGAAAGCATGGATCCATCCTGCCTTCTATCAATGGATCAGGCTAATGATGGTGGTGTAATGGTGTGGTGGATATTTTCTTGGCACACTTTGGGCCCTTTAGTACCAATTGAGCATCATGTATATGCCACGGCCTACCTGAGTATTGTTGCTGACCATGTCCATCCCTCTATGACTCCAGTGTCCCCATCTTCTGATGGCTCCTTCCAGCAGGATAATGCACCATGTCACAAACCTCAAATCATCTCAAACTGGTTCCTTGAACATGACAATGAGTTTCCTGTACTCCAATGGCCTCCACAGTCACCAGATCTCCATCCAGTAGAGCACCTTTGGGATGTGGTGGAACGGGAGATTCCCATTATGGATGTGCAGCCAACAAATCTGCAGCAACTGTGTGATGCTATCATGTCAATATGGACCAAAATCTCTGAGGAATGTTTCCATCACCTTGTTGATTCTATGCCACGAAGAATGGAGGCAGTTCTGAAGGCAAAAGGGGGTCCATAAAACCAAGGTGTACCTAATAAAGTGGCTGGTGTGTGTATATACTGTCATTTTTAGATATTTGCCTGGAGTTCAGCTGAAAATCTCCAACTGATAACTACAACATGGAAAGTCATATTAAGAACGACTTATACAGTATCTAGTTACTGTTTAGATGTTTATCTAAATAACTTGGTCTAAAGGAAAGGGCACACACTTGCCATCCTTCCCGTGTTTCCACATCCTGTGTAAATGAATTGCTTCTCGAGGTAAGAATAGAGCTTTTT